CACCACCACCTGCACCACAAATTGCAAATCAATCCACCGTCCGGCACGCACGTAGCCACTCCCAAGAGACTCCAACCTTCAAGTCTTCTGTGCTGACGGCAGAACTTTCTTTTAATGGAGGACTGCGTGGAGTTAGGATGGTATCCCCCGCGACCTGGTTGGATAAATCCATACACACGTTGGTATTTGCGGTGAACTTTGCTTGTTCTCTTGTGGACACTTACACGGGTTGTTTAGAAACACCGGGCCTTGTTTATAAACTTGTGGGTTGTCCGCAAAGATATGGGTGGCTTAAATGCAACAGCACATGTCTGCCCTTTCGTTTCTCTTTCTATGTATACAGCAATAAACGCACTGCAGCAACGTGCAGCTCCAGGATCCTCGAGAGCGAAACCATCATATGTTTTGTGAGTTGTGTTTTAACTAAGCGAGATGTCTTGTAAGGCCATGTTTAGGGATGGAGAGCATACAATGGCCTGTACCCTACCAATTTATCATAGAATTAGAAGGACGGTCCGTTATAGCTTGGAAACTGACCCGGCATTCTGTGCAATTTTTGCATAAATCCAAAAGATACGGACCCAAATAGTGGCAATTGCGAAGGGTACTTTATGAACAATGGTATTGGAAGAATCTAGAATGGCATAAGCATCAACACAAGTGGGATTCCACTTTAGGACAAAAGTCAGGTCTCCATCGCTCAAAGCTTGTCCTTGGTAGCCTTATGTGTATATACATAGGCCGAAGCCGCTCACATCTTTACTTTGCTTCAGCGTGCAAAACAAGGGCACGTCTGTGCATGCACACTTCGTGAAGCCTATGCAATTCGACAGCTAATTAGGCCGAATCAGTACGATGGTTTCCTTAAACATTGTTAGCGTTGTTGCTGCTGTTGGCTGGATTTGCTTTGGGTAGATAGTCCAGGCCCTTAAAGGCTAGAGGCTCTAAGCTGCATAGGAAAACTGTCGAGATTATGTGGTGTGCCCTCAAGGACTTGTTTGGCGAGTCTTAAAATCACGGTTCTTTGCAACGTTTGCTGCTTGTAAGAGCTGCTGCACAAGAATCTAAGAACCCCGATTAAGTGTTCAACCTGCACATTGGTGTGGCGCTTGTCTGAGAGCGACTTTGCAAAGCTCGAAGAGGCCCTTTCGAAAATTACTTATGATCCTTGTGTTGTGGATTATGTTTTACAAACCGCACAAACACGAGCTCCTCCAACATAGAGCTATTCACCCTGAAACCCAATAAAAAAGCCTTAAAACCAAACCCAGGCCCCANNAACCCCCCCCCCCCCCGAAACTCCTGGTGCTTGAATCGCCGGTGCTTGAGTCGCGTCTTGAATTGAATCAGGGGTGCATGCCAAGCTGGCATGCTTGTAGCAAGGGTGTTTGAATCCTAGTGTGGGAATCGGTTCCGATTCTCGAATCTACGGAATACATGTGCCGCTGAGAAGCAGAACTACACATGGAATCTCAGAGTCTGCTCACACTATCCACGATGCATCAACACTCCCGGAGACGGAAAATGTATCTATGAATGCCCCAGGCGCATCTTGTGGCGAAGCTCACGTCCTTGCTGACTCTCTTCGTGGTGAGCGTCAGAAGCCAGCACCCGCTTCAGGGCCATCGGATCCACAGGAGCTTGCACCCACTTTGTGAATACTGCTTTAGTGCAATGTTTCAGAAGTAGATTGAAGGGGCAGAGGCTCGAGTTGCTAGAAAGGCTTCGAGCAAGATTGGATCACCAGCAGTGCCGTGACGTGAGGAAGTGCCTGTCAACGTCAGGCTGGCGGTCTGCCTGCGGCGTCGCATCCCTTACCCTCAAGAGCTTCTCTATGCAGATTGCCGCGTAGGTATGCACCTCACAGCTCGCGCAAGAAACGAGGAGCTAATCTTGAAGAGCCTGAGCTTCCTGCCACCGCACTCTCAGCGGTGATGTGGCTGCCTCAACCGACTGTACAGAGTCGGACATACTCTGTCCGGAAACACGATCTCGAAACACTAAGGTTCTGACAAATCGCAGGTAACACTTGACCTGAGATCACCGTCTGCTGGAAGTGGTATCAAAAGGGGACCTGGATGCATCCCGTAGCCCCGAGCCGACTTGTTCTCTCGGGAGCTGATTTCGAAAGACGGTCACAAACCTGAACGAAGCGGAAAGGGAGGCCACCAGAGCATCACAAGCATAAAAAGGTCGTAAGTCTCTGACTTCAAGCAGGAAGCTCGAAGAACGGGTCGCTGGGACTGCACAGAGAACTCGAGCCGTATTGAATTGAATGCTAAAGACTTCGGAACACGATGTTGACACTGTCGCTGTCTGCACAGTCGGCCCCACCAACGGCTCCGCGGTCAGCTCCGGCGCCACCAAGGATGTGAAAAAGTCAAGCCTTTGTGGCAACTGCGACACCCCGTACCTTCCATCGACCCTAATCTTACAATCTTTGCTGCGCGGAACTGCGTCCAGCTAATGATATAGGCACACGTCCGGAAAGGGCTTGGTACTTTGCAAGTTTCGCCTGTCTGTCATCAAGGCAACTGCATAGGTTTTACCACCTGTTAGTAAATGTTGTCAGCTGTCGGCATATCGTTTCTCTGGAGCGACAGTGCTACTTATCTGTTTATTCGATCTCGAGGAAGTCAACGGGACGTTGTTAACCTTCCTCCTGCTTCCGAAATCCCCCGCCGAGAAAAACTGGACCATCACATCTGTCACGTTCATAGAGAGAGAGAGAGAGAGGGGAAAGAGAGAGAGACACGCACTTGTTTCACAAAAGCGACCACTTCAGTTTAAGGAGAACCTCTTTGAGCTAATGTCGGAACAGGTCTAGTAGTCAACAAGGGAGAGCGCCGCTGCACCATTCCGCTTTACCTGCTTTACCTCAGGGTGATGCTTGGTCCTTAGTGGCGATGGTCCTTTGCCCGGTTGGACCCAGCCTTAAGATTCAGGGTATGTTCTCCACGTCACTGCTTAAAACTTTCGTGGACGACAGGACGGTCGTAGCACGCACTGCGTGGGAAACCCTGCTCATCAAGAATGAGTGGGCCTCCCAGTCGGAACAGTTGGGCATGGAAGAAAACCAAGGCAAGATACGGTATTTTCATGCTAGTGCTCAGGGACGCCGTAACCTTGCTGATGAGGGTGCTGACCCGGAGCTCATCTGCCAAGACCCTTGTGTGTTCGGAGTGCATTTGCGCGGTAGGCAGCTGAGGTCCAACACGCTTAAGGAAGAGCTGCGGCTGTCTAACAGCTGCAAGCTCATTAGGCGTTGTGCCATGCTTCCTGTGTCTTGGCAATGGGGAAACGGGTTGTCTCCACTCAGGGTTTGCCTAAGGCAGTTTGGCTTCCCTCTAAAGCTGACCGTGAGAAAGTCAACTACGCCGTGCGGGTTGCCTTGCGTGAAGGACAGACTGCAAGCGTCGAACTGCAGGCTGTGCTGCGCGGCCATAGCCTTGACTTTGGGTTTAGGAGTTTAGGGTTCTTTCGGCCAGTTTTTCAATTTTCTGCTGTCCAACAACAAGCTTGGAAGAGGCCAGGGGTTCCTTGTCGCTGGGCGAGAAGGGGCTGGCCACAGGTGCTTCAGGCAGCCACGTGCCCCTTGGTCATGGGTTCATGAGCGATTAGGTTTTAACGCTTCGTCAAGTTCTGCTGTGAGCCGTCTTCAGTTCCAGCGTACTATGCATCAACTGCGTGAATCTTGACGGCATGCTTTGTTCAACAAGTTCATAACTGATGACAGGTGAGATGCTGCTCTATTTGTGAAGTACGAAGAGGGTGTTTTTGCGAGGGCCAGGCGCTTTTGCAATACCTTTCAGCGCTTTCAGGTTATGAGTGGTGCGACTCTTAGCCCTGCCGCAAGAAATCACTGGGATGGCCATGACCCAGGGTTACGTCGAAAATGCTTTTGATGGTCGCCCAAATGTGAGCCCTCATGCTGTGCTGCAGTCTCGCTTTGGCTGGCCAATGGGTATTCCAAGTGACGTTGCCGCTCTTGAATGGCACTAGAGCCTTGATCCTCCGGGATCGCAACTCTTGAGACCTTGGGCTTTCTTTTCTGCTTAGGGTTGCTCCTTTTGCCAGCAGCACTGCTGGCATTGGTTACGCTCTGTGGAGCGTGAGTGTTGCCCGATACACCATTCCGAAATCCTGTTCGCGCGTCTATGTGATGCCGGCGAGCAACGAATGATACGCGTTTCGAAACCTCGGCATCATGCGGTTTGTGGTATGCCAGGCCCTGTTCGGCAATCCACCCGTAAGAGAGCTGGTGCACTGTCGGCTCCTCTTGTTTTCCTGCCCATGCGGCCTCAAGACCGCCACATTGAGGCAGCAACAACGTCAATACGCAGGTGCAGCCGCGCGACACACCCCATGGAGAAGCGCACCGACGTAGGCGAAGCCCCGACAAGGCTGCTGTAACCGATTCCCTCGCACCCGCCCAACTCTGTAGCGAAGCTACCTGGCTTGGCTCTCAGACTACACCCTGCCGAGCAGACCGAAACCGTTCCTGCCTCTTAATTGGTCTACGCAAGACACACGCAAGTGTCCAAACAACCGTTGCTGCGGCTTCTTCATGATCCCCTTGGTAGGTCTAGACGGGATGCAAACGTCCATAGGCCTGTCAGAAGAGCTTTTAGAACGCTAGCGGATACTAGGGGCACAGTCTACGAGGATCATTCAACTGCCTCATTCGCGATCATTCGTCCAGCAGGCATGGAAACGGAGCACGTCCAGCAGCACACTGCCAAAAAAAAGATGCACGATCTGCCAACTTGCCTGTCGGCCAAGGCACACATTGACGTTCTGGTTAGTCACAGTGACACCTGATGACAACAGAGTGTCCAATTGCAAGGGCTGCAAGACTCATCTTGTAGAACCACTGGGTGGGTTCGTCACAAACAGGTTGGAGGTTGAAGGCAACTCTGAACCCGGCCTGCAATGACTGCAAGGACAATGGTTTCCGAAAATCTTCAAAGATGCATCACGTGTAGCGAGCTTGGGGGACGTTGGGGCTCCCAGTGGCAGAATCTTAGAGACCTTCATCATCCTTCTAATCTTGCGCCGGCCTTGGCACCTTTTCTCTTCGTTTGGAGTCTTCGGAACGGGAACCTTTACAGCTGCAAGCATCCTGCCTTCTCTGTGGGTCTGCTCCCGCACTGCCATGGCTATGCACAGGAAAATGCAAGCATCCTGACGGGACAACGAACACACAGTCTGCGATCCCCTGCGAACCCTGCTGTGTGGCATACTCTCCTTGAAGCGCTCTGCTTCTCCGGCACCAGCCGAAGCAGCCTGCTTTGTATCAAAAAAAGAAGCTGTGTGCATAGGCGACGCTTCACTGCCTTGGACATCAGCGCTTTTACATAGCCGATCAGGATTTCGGTCACCTGCCGCTGACTTTCATTGAAACCTGGCCTTTGCACATGGGCTTGGCACCATGCCTTCGCTTCATTGAGCCGGCCCATGGCCTGTCCGGGAAGAGACTTTTGGCCTTGGCTCATTCTACGCGCATGGGCGCGCCTTGACCAAGTCCATGGAACTTCGTCTCCTGGTCTCCTGTGCATGGGCCACACCCCCGTCGACGCTCCGGTCTCAGCCGAGTCGCCTGGTCAGCTGCTTCCATGTCCCGCCGCACATACCTCGGCGAATGGAGAACCACAGAATCAGAAAAGAATTTCTTTTTACACGAGGCCTTGGCTCCAGCGGATTGTCTTCAAAAAGCTCGACATCTGAGTCTCGAAGCAGAACGTTTGGAAACACAACCTGGCAAAAAACATCTTTTCGCGGTCTTGTTGCATTAGCTCCTCGACCCTAGCAGGTCATCAATCCTGATTCAAAAATCCCTCTAGCACTCGGCCTCGAAAGACTGCGTCGTCTCTTACTGCCGCAGGACAAAAGTTCACCAAACGTCCTCTAACTCAACTAACCCCCTTTCCCCCTTAGACTCCTCACACAAGATCCCAAAAGCTCTCCGCCAAGAACTATATAGTAGTATAACAGTATAATTTGTTCCAGGAGATTAACTACTCCACCACGCTTGCCATGTAAAGCGGATCTGCGGCCTCTCTGCTTCTCCACGGTATATGTTCATGGTATATTGTCTGTATGTCGAAACTTTTGTCCCGGTGATGTACGACCCAACCGCACGTCCGCCTGCCTTTTCACAGATGCCGGACAGGACATTTGGGTCCTCGCACAGGTCATCATTCGAGATGACAAGTTTGCGTGAAGCTTGCAAGGCCTCAAATGGAGACTGAGGCCAGTGAGTTGCCGCGGTAGAACTGGGAAGACCCGATAGCTGAGCCACACAAGTCACAGGGCAAGACTGAATTGCCAGGCCGCTGACGACAGGAACTGAATTCCCTTGGCCACCAACTGATCGTTCTTCTCCTTGAACCGGCCACGAACCATTGCGATGCATCAGCAGATGTTAGTTGTTCTGTGTTGCACTCCTGCTGGTCTAGACCCACGAGTAGACTCCAGACCTGGCCACAAGTTCCTGGCGACACCTCCTGCGGACCTGCAAGGTCTTTCCCTGCCTCGTTGACACAAGGAAGCAAGAAGGGCATGAACCTAACCATGCAGAGCACAGGCAAAAAGCGGCAACAAGGTGGAAGCAACCCGTACACTTTCGGTTCATGGGCACATGAGTAACAACAGCTTGAGGCCAAAGCTCCTCCTGATACTTATCCTCAGTCCACTGTGTCACTGATATTTCACTGCTTTTCCAGTGTTCTGCCTGGGGATTCTGAATTCCTGATGAGCATCAGCGTAGAGCACGAAACACTCACAAATGGCGCCTTTCACCTGCGCTGCGGGGAATCTGCAGGCACGGATCTACGCCCAATCGCGCTGTCGCTCCCCGACCTGCTCAAGGAGTCCCTGCTGCTCTTTCCCAGCCACGGCCTTGAGCAGAGCATTGCACAGTCCACGAGGCACAATCTAGAGAGACAAGCCCAACAGCTGTCCACGTGACGATGAAAAGGCTCGGAATGCAGGCTCCCATAAATTTATAAGCGGGTGTATTGACTTCGCCTGGAGGGCCTGGGGCCTGAAGGGTTGGGAAAAGGTGGTGACCCTATGCAGACAGAACTCTCAGGCCACATGTGCTTCAATATACTACATCCTTGCCTGGGCACGAAATCACGCATCGTAGAAAGAGCAAAGGGAACTTAGGCTGAAGATTCAAGCGTTCGTTCCTGGCTTTTCGCTACGAATGACAGCCAATTGCCAGTGACTCTAACAGTTCAAGTCGTCCACCTCATGCTGAAACTTCAGCAACTCCAGAAAACCTCGGAAGTAGTCCTGCAGCGATTTGTCCGGACAATGCTATGATGTCTTTGCTGCTACCGACAACCAGGTGTCCTCTCTGTGATCCTCAAAGAACTCAGGGAGGTCTATAACGTTCAGCGAGAAGAACGCACCTTGCCAGCTGAACGAGACAGAGCCTTCATGACAGTGGCACGACCAATTCGCGACCGAATTGTAAGTTCCGGTCCGATGGTGGCTAACAGGAGCTCAAAATGAGCAATCAGCCTTGAAGCTGATCGCGCCAATGGAAGCAACTGACTAAGGAGGAATTGGCTGAGAGTCCCTCTGATCAGCCGGTAAACCGCCAGCAAGAACTTGTCTGCAGGTTGCCTTGCTGAGTTACAAGCTGACAAAGGACAGGGAAGCTTTGCGATCGTGCCAGGTGTTACCAGTCTGGCAGTTTGTCCCAACACTGCCGTGGAAATGGTCGAGGCATCGGCCGTGAAAACTGTAAGATGGGTCGCTTGAAAGCCTTCCACAGTGTACCTGCCAGTAAATTTCGCCAGGAAAGGCAACCCAGGAGCCCAATGGCAGGCGCACTTCACTTCTCTGAGTAGATCCTCAGATCTTGCCTGTGCTCGAAACCTTTGGTCTGAATCGGAACGATACTGCTGCACCTTTTCAATGTGACACAGCTGCCAAGCTCAAGACTTTAGAAACACAGTGTGCGCTGTCTGCATCGTTCCCTTCAGAACGGACATGTCCTTCGTTCCAATCGAAGAAGGCAGTTGCTGACAGCATAGAGACAGGAATGACATTGCTTCAGGCATGGCCACTCGTCCTGCGATGATTTCAGGTGCTGCACAATCTCAGGCAACAGCGACTGCCACTCCTCATGGAATCGAGACAAGCCCATGCTTGAGCAGCAAAACCTGTGAGATTCTGAGACAAGAACTGCAGGGTAGTCGGTGATGGAAATCTCTTCCAAACCAGCAGACAACTGCACCTCGAGCTTTGCCAACAAGTTGCAGGAAGGACTCACTCGCAAACCGGGAAAACGTCAGCTACTTCAACTGCACACTAGCAGCTGGTCATTGAAAAAATCCTGCCTGCACCTGTTTCGGCGCTTGAAGCATAAGTGAAAGGATATGCTGCTTGATGGCCTCTGTCGATCGCACGGTGCATGTCACGACACCAGGACAGCGACTTCACGAGTGCCTGCAAATCAATAGTTAGCGACCGGCCTGTCTGTCGGAAGCTGAAATGCCACCAGCACCTTCGACGCACCTCGAAAGCTCGACGAGCACTCCGGCTTCGGAATGGAGCCAAAAGTGAACACCCTAGTGCTCTGCAGGTCTGATCCGATGCAGCTGCTTTCCAAGATCGCAGCCACTGTCGCCGAATATAGTTCTTGAAATAAATCGCTCCAGCTTGCCTGCAGCATGTCGAACCATCCACATCATTTCGCATCCAACATTGTGTCTGGGAGAGTTCAATGCCCATCTCTGGATATGCACTGACCTGCACTGCAACGAAACCTCACTCGCGTCAGGTTTTCCGGCCTAGCAGCCGCTTCCACACTGCCAGAACGCAGGAGCTCTAGAAGAACCAATCCAAACCTGTTTCATGAAAGCACGAACATATCATCGGAGAGTTGAACCGCAACTACAGAAAGCATGCGAAAGTGGTGCGTGCCCAGGCTGCACTTCGGCCGATCGCAGCTGTTGTTCAGCACCTTTCATGGCCTCCGAAAATATTCGCACTGCAACATGATCAGAATATAACCACTACAATCCGATCCATGTCTACATATGATATACAGCCTGCATGTTTCCTGCCACTGTCTGTGTCAACAGCTGCGCCAACTGCCCCATCTGACCAGGACTGACCGCCATCCCTGCATGCACCAAGCGCTTTCAGCAAACATCTCGCGATGGTAGCCTTCGAACAACCTGTTGTGGTAGTCAGTCAAGTATAGTCAGACATGTTTCGGCCGCCTGGTGCTGCAAAGCACAGACTTGTCACATTTGGAAAGCGGGTGGACTCAATGCTATGTACCCCGCACAACTAAGAAGCCTGTTCGGTCAAAGCTCTTTCATCAGCAGTGCGGTAGGCAACCATGTATCTTCATGCAACCAATGAAAACTACTTGAAACAATGCTTGCTCAATGTCCGGACGTTGTCATGGCGAAGCTAGGGCAAGGTGTTGCGACATCTGCTGCCGTAAACAAGACCAACACCACATGCAACACACCTGCAATGCGATATCAATACGCATGAAAACGATAGTGAAATCATGTTCAACAGCAATGCAACAAATTAGTGCTCCAACATCAAAACGAACTTGCAGCATCGTCAAAAACGTTTCCACATCCTTCGAATTCCAAAGATTGGGTTGTGTGGGCGGGTCCTGTTCGTACAACACGCATGGTCATATAGAACATGTCCATGAGAGGTTTCAACCATGCAACGACCAACACAGTTGCCAATTACCAATGAAATACATGAAAACCCTGCCCCAAACACATGGTGGGCAGACGTCAAAACTACATAGGTCTGCGGGCAGCAGCAGCTAGACGGAAAACGTACCACAATTTCCAATGCTGCTTCGAAGGGATGTGACCACGTTTGGTGCGTATGTTGACCACGTTAGCATCCGCTGTGGCAACCGTCTGTCAGCGGTGCTCGCATCCTTCTGTTGGGAAAAAAAGTGCTTCACATCCGGGGAGTACCACATAGTTGGCGCCGTAGGCAGAGTCCTGAGTCTGCTCAAAAAAGAATCCGTTAGCTAACGACTGCTCTATTTCTTTTTCATCGCAACTTCGGACGATGATCGTCTTGCATTCGGTTTGTCTGATTGGTCAGCGCATGTCCTCTAGCATTCATGATTTGTTGCAAGGCCTCAATTTCTCCTGCTCTGCTTCTCCCTAAAATTCCCTGAGTCTACTGTCTTCATGATCGATTCTCGCTCTGGCCGGGTGCTTGCGCAGTCATAAAGCATTCGGTCCAGCTTATCTAGGAACTCTACAAAATTGGCTCATGCACTTTTAGCCGCCAAAAAAGTTGGAGGATATGAGGGAACGATGCGCGAATCTGCTGCTGGAGGCTCTGACCTGCAAAGGTTAGTGGCCTCCGCATCGCCAAACGCTTAGGTTTTTCGGTTTTTCATACTGAAAGCAAACCAGCGTTTGCCAAGCTTCCATGTCCGCGAACCCACACAAGCACAATGGCGTCAGGCCAGGCTTCCGTCGTCCGCGCAACTCCGAACTGCAAGTTCCCCGGACCGCCGGAAAATTTTGGCAACTGGCGTCTGGCGGCGCACAAAACTCGCCTCTGATGTCCGATGGCTCCGCGGCAGAGCGGAAACAAAGCCAACGGCACCCCTGCTGCTTTGTTCCACACAACACGCAAGGCACCAATAAAGCTCCGAGAACCCTTCTGCGAAAAGGATTTCGTTGGGTTTAGGGGTGGTTTAAGTTGTGGAAGGAAGAAGGTTTCCGTTGCAAGGTGGAAGACAAGTTCAGGCCAGGCAAACGCGAACCTGCGCAGGCTCATAAGTGTTCCCTGCGTAGCCTTCAAGCACACATAGGTGTGTCAGGAAGGCTTGCAGAAAAGGCGCTGGCAACACCTGCTTGCAAGTGTTTCGGGCCCACAAACCTGGACGCAGAAGATTGCTGAGGCTGCCAGTGGACACTGTCACAGTTTCACACTTGGCAATTTGGCCGAGGAAGCACGAAGCATTTTGCCTTGTAGTTCGTTGCAAGCATTCGCCAGCCTCTCTCTATGGAGTGATATCCCAAACCCCATCATAAGCAGTCTGTGGACCTTGGTATCCAACCCCCCTGAGAATTCCGAAATTTTGGGTTCATCTAGAATGGAGTCTCAAGCCTCGTAGTTCGACGACTTTTGGGGCTCAAATTTGTGCTCAAAACGCGATTTCCTCGCAACGAAGAAGCATCTACATATATCGGATCGGGGGGACTATTGGACCATTTAATTTCGGCCTGGTTTCGGGGATATTTAGCCTCGAAAACGGCCTCTTCGGCCTCTTGGGCGAAATCCGGTTTCTTCGAGGTTTTCCGGAATCGAGGTGAGATTCGGGAGTTTTTCAGCGCCGAAGAGGACTTCGGCGAAAAACCCGATTTCTCCGACGTTTCGGAATCGAGGCGAGATTCGTGAGTTTTCAGCCTCGAAACTCGAGGAAACCCCCGCGTTTGTTGCCGAGGATTCGGGATGACTCCAAGATGAATCCATGATGACTTCAAGATGAATCCATGATGAATCCATGATGAACTCAAGATGACTCCATGATGATCCAAAGATGAACCAAAGATGAAAACAGGTTCTTTGTCGTCGATTCGGCTTGGTTACCCCCATTAGGCCTCTGCCGAAAGGTCCAATAGTCCCCCCGATCCAATATATGTAGATGCCTCTTCGTTGCGAGGAAATCGCGTTTTGAGCACAAATTTGAGCCCCAAAAGTCGTCGAACTACGAGGCTTGAGACTCCATTCTAGATGAGCCCAAAATTTCGGAATTCTCAGAGGGGTTGGATACCAAGGTCCACAGCCTGCTTATGATGGGGTTTGGGATATCACTCCATAGAGAGAGGCTCTAAAGCGCTTGCAAACTGGGCGCGTGCCGCTTCGTAGACACTTTGAGGGTGCGCGGGCTTCGGAGCCGTTAGCGCGAGCCGGCGCGTTCCGGAGTGGTTTGACGGGCGTGTGACGCGTGCGCAAGCGCGCGGGAGCCTGTTGGCGCGGCAGTGCGGGAACGGTTGCGGAGCCTGCCGGGAGTAGAAGCTTGTCGGGAAGCTCATTGAGGCCGGGAGCTCGGGAGTCTGTTGGGAAAGCGGCTCCGGAATCTGTTGGGAAAGCGGCTCGGGAACTTGCCGGGGATTGAGGCCGGAGCAGGTCGGGAGTCTGTTGGGAAAGCGGCCGGGAGCTCGGGAGTCTGTTGGGAAAGCGGCTCGGGAACTTGCCCCGCCAACTGCTCGGGAGTCTGTTGGGAAAGCGGTTCGAGCCGTTACGTAACGTTCCGGCACGTTCCGGAGCTGTTCGCCGCGACAAGGGCCCAGCCCACGGACGACTATCTCACAGTCACGGGAGGCACGCAGGGCACTGACTTGAACTCGGTCTTCTACACCGCCAGCACGATTCGTCTTGGCCGTGCCGAACAGATCGACGTAGCCGAAGGCGTCCAAAATCGAAGCCAAAAAACAATCTCTGGCGGTGGGGGGGAAAGAAACAAGTTAGCGACGACCGAGCGGCTTAAGGCGACGGGCGGGTGGCCGAGCCGCGAGTCGGCGG